AGAAGAGAGATAGAGATAGAATGATTATTTTAATTTAATATGGAGAAAGTTGTGTGTATGAGAAATGAAAAGGAAGAGAGAGATATGAGTAAATTGTAGAGAATGTCTATGACAATGTCCACAAATATACTTTACACGGGAATCGATAAGTGAATGTTGATGAAAAGTGAGTTAAAAGTGATATAGAAAAATGAAAAATAAAATAAATGTGAAGATATGTACGCCCTACACATAAAATTTGTGATATAAAAAATGGGGCCATGTGTAAGAGTGTGTAAAGAAACTAGACATCCCATTGGGGATGCTCTTAGTAACTTAGTGTAAAAAGTCCTTTATTTACAATACACGATATTCTACTAGCAGCGAACATAGACAATTAGCCATAGTACGTGGTTACGTGTTAACGTGCACAAAATCTGATTACAACCTTACCCTGCTTTCTTTAGTGTGGAGAGACTCATCAGAAATTAATCGCAGTAAATTAGTGATCTTAAATCTTTTGGATAAACCCATACGGCGGGGTAATGCAAAGGATTTAGAAAATCTCAACCAGCCGTCATTCATTAATAGTGTTGTCGTCATATTAATTAGTTGAAAATTAATCATAGGTGCAGCTAATTTGATTGCTGCATGCATTTTTTATCGGAAATTGTGAACCACGCAGTATACTACTTGTTTTCAAAAGCTTGTAAACTTCAAGTTCCGTGATTTATCCAAGACTAGCCCTTTGAGATTTTGCTATTAAGATTTTACGAATGTGTCCTCAAATAAATGAATAATACTCCGTAATAATAATTGAATGATACATTGTGCATGTTTGACAGATATAAGTCTATGTCTTCTAGCTTTTGTATTGTTAAAAGTTTTTAGTTGTATGTTTGGCACGACTAATTTTAAGAGTTTTTCAAAAAATAAAAAGAACTTTTTTGAGATGCTACGGGGAGTAGCATCTGAGAAAAGACCGTGACTTTTAGTATTAATTTGTCCTAACAGCTTGTATATCAAACAAAACTAAATCAAACAGTCGCCTTTTTACCAAACAGGTACCAACTTTTCTTTTTAAAATATTTTCCGTCACTAAAAGCTAACAAGAACTAAAAAGTTCACAAAAGTATCTTTTCAACTAATCATGTCAAACATACTCATTGCACATATATCAAAGAATCAACAAACTCCTGGTGTTTTGTTATTAGAATTTTTAGTGCGTTTTCCTTGAATATTATCGAAATATAATTAATGGACAAAATTATAATGCATAGTCACTATTGTGGTAGCGTTGAATACAATCATTATCACTATAGTTACTATGATAGTACTAAATCATAGTGACTATGATAGTACTATGAAAGTAACCCTTAATTTCAATCCATAAAACAACTATATAATCAAACCTATAAACGATATGATCGCCCTCAAAACAGTGTTTCAAAACGCCTTTATCGGGATGTTTGGGTAATAGCTCCTTACCCTCTAAGATCATCTCCAATGCTACAATGTGCACGGTGCACATGTGACATGAGAGATAGACACATAAATATTTGTAAATAAATATAGAGTTGTTTATTTGAATGAATTTATTCAATTTTGGTAATTTTTTCACCACAATGTCACGAAGACCGTGTAGATATAGACATTATGGTTGACATTGCAGAGTAAAACGTACCAAATTTGTATAAAGTCATTTAAATAAGGAGAGAAATAATTTATTTTTTAATTTTTATGTGATTATCTCTCATGCTGCATATGCAACGTGCACATTTCACCATTCGAGATGCTCTAAACTCCTTTTTTTCCAATAGAAAACGCTGCAACATGGAGCGTTTAGGTTCCAAACCGCTTAAATACAAACAAAGGCCAAAATGTTTGAGTAGACTTTTTCACGCGTACTGCAAACTGACATAAACTAACGTACACGAGAGTACCAGATAAGATTGTAAGCATTCCAAATGTTAAAATGGGGACTAAATAAAAGTGAGCACGCATCACAAAACTCGAATTATCATGCGTTCACGGATTCAGGTTTACAGGTTACAAAGTCGGCCCAAAAATAGTATTTCCAAGAGATGTTGGAAACACACCTTATTTAATGATTCTGCGCTGCCCAATCCTGCACCCACCTTTTAATGCAGATAATTAACACGCTTCCAAGAAATGTCTGCAGTGAGAAATTTAACGTCATTCCTGCATGCATGAGAAGCTTTTTGGGATTTAGGAATTATCTGTCACAATATCTATAGGTAATAGATATGTTTAATGGTTTCTATAGAATTTATCAATGTAAATTCACGTGGATATATACCAATTACCAATTCTGAGTACGTACTCCGTAGTGTATAACCCATTGCGGTGTCTTGGCATTCTAAAAATTTGTGAGCATTACAAAAGATATTTACCTCTCAAGGCTTAACCAAATCATGGATAATATAATCTGCCTCAACTTTGTAATTTTTTAATTTGTGTTTTTCGTAATCTCTTTCTTCGTTTATAACAAGAACTGCTATCAAACACATTATATTGAGTGTGTTACGTTTGGAAAACGACGCTTTAACAAAATAAAGGACTTTCACCTTTTAACGTTTTTCACAAGTCATAATTATGTGGAAATGGTGTTTGATAAATAGTTGTTTGATCCTTACGTTTTTTAATGGAACCATTAAATAGAAACATTATGAATAACAATGTTTCGAGTTAGCTTTTGGAAATAGGCATTACTCACAAACAGGGACCGAGCCAGGATATGACTATATGAGCGAGGGGGGTGGGGTGAAATGAAGGAAAAAATACAAAAGCAATAAACATTAAATAATGTAGTAGTATTCATTTAAAACATTCAAAAACACATAACTAAACGTCTTGAGAGTTAACATTTAGAACGTCGCTCTTGCATGTCACGAAAATCATCTATAAGAGAGTCCACACTAATTGTTTTTGAATTTGCTTCTCAATGTACACCAACAAACAATTGGTAAGAAATACGAAGTATTCATCTTCCATCTTGTTTCGAAGGGTAGTCTTCACGATGCTCATAGCAGAAAAAGATCGCTCTATAGTACTCTACTCGTTTAATATCCGGACTCTAAAATAAGATTATATAATTACTTTTTAAAATGTTAAAATAAACACTAAAGAGCCCTATTCAAGAATTCCTTAAATACACATTAGTAATTTGCATTAACTTAATTCCTTCGTTTTTGCTCATAAAATAGTTCCATATTATAATTTCTAAATTATAACATCTTAACTCTTGTTTACAAATCAACCATTTAAATAATAAATACTACGGAGTATTTCTTTATTAAGTATTCACTAAATTTCGAATTAATATCTCTAAGTGACAACACAAATTTGCATTAACTTAATTCCTTCGTTTTTGCTAATAAATACTACTCACTAGTATTTCTTTCAATTTAAATGATTTCAATAGCCAAAAGGGCTTTAGGCCCAGCCGGCCAGCCGTAAGGTTGAATCGTTGATGCTTGGCTACAGCTATATATGGTGTAAGGATAATAGTCAAAAATAAAATGTGGTATGGGGCAAAAATTAAAAAATTAATACTACTATTTAAAAAAATGGTGGTGGGCGGGGGGGGCAATGACCTCCCTAATGCTTCATGTAGTTCCGTCTTTTTTATAACCCTTCAATTTATTCTGCTAGTTAAACCTGCTGACCGGATAACTGGATCCACTGTTACGTACCAACATGCCAACATTATTCCTCAAGTGCTAAATGTCAAAGATGCCCATTATACACATGTCATCATTTGATAGAAATGCTGAAATGCATCACAGCATCACGTAATAGATACTTCCTCCGTCCCATTGGACTTTGCCAATTTTCCCTTTTTGGTTGTCCCAAAAAACTTTGTCACTTTCCTATTAAAGCAACTAATTTGTGGTTCTGCACATTTCTCTCTCTTCTCCACAAATCTCAACCATACAGTTTTTACTATTCTTATTTGTCACCTACTTTGCAATTGGCAAAGTTCACCGGGACGGAGGTAGTATTTTCTCAAAGAAGGAATAAGCATTCACTTTAAAAAAAATTAACAAACAATTAGTGGACATTAAATAATTATGAGGCAGTTTATGGGTGCATTTGGCATTTGGCAGGTTGCAAAAACATGTTTGGTAATTTAGTCGTTTGACCATAGTAATTAACAGAAAATACTCTATTCCAAAACGCTAATCCAAAATGCTACTATTAGTAACGTTTCCATTTCACTGATTTCGTCCAAAATAAAGCTAGGGTCGAACAACTATTTAACAAATAACAATTTGACTTACTAAAACCGCTAAAATGAGCCAAATCGCTACTTTTTGGCTAAAAGAAAATACAGTCACTCTTAAATGGGTGAAATTGTGCATAAATGTAAATTAGATTATTCTATTTCTTAATTGTTGTATTTGTGAGAAGAAATGCCTTCTTTGGAAAGGTTTTGGCCTAATCCGCCTCTTCTTTTTTGTATTCTTATTTATTTAATAAAATCCGCAAAATGTTTTCTGACATTTGCCCCACTGATTTTGGTGGTTTACCTACCCGGACAAAAAAAAACGTGAAAATTAGAGTATTTTCACCTTTTGGCTTATATAATACGGAGTACTACATACGTAGCACTCCGTAATATGTATTGTACTATCTATGTTAATTAAGGATGCTTTTACTTGGACTGCAATTTTCTGGTCTGATTTGGTCTGAAATGGTCTAATCTGGTCTGCTAATGTCTGATTTCTTTGTATTTTTATAATTATCCAAGTCTGATCTGATCTAGGACAGATTAGTCCAAGTAAAAACATCTTAAATATATAGACCTTAAAAAAGCGGTGTGCATATGCACTACATATGATGCAATTTCTTTTTATAATTCTGACTATACATGTACTCGACTAAAAAAACATTTTTTTTATCTAGCTAGTTGCTCTACTCCCTCGTACAGTCTATATATACACAACCAATTGGTAGCAACTACCAAATAAGCCACCATCAAGATCGAACATACATTATTAGAGGATCCTCTAATACATGGAGGAGGAGAATACCACCACCGTGGCCTCACCGGACGGGAAGCCGGCGTCAAAGGGTGGCCAGAACGGGTTGAGATGGAACCCAACAAAAGAGCAAATTAACTTGCTTGAGAGGTTTTACAATGAAGGGATAAGGACCCCAACAGCAGAGCAGATACAAGAGATCACAGGCATGCTTAGGGCTTTTGGTCATATAGAGGGGAAGAATGTGTTTTACTGGTTTCAGAACCACAAGGCCAGGCAACGCCAGAAACTCAAGCATCAACATAACTTGGCCCCTCTCTTTATCCCTTCCACTAATTACCAACTCCATTATCCTCTTTACCCCTTCCCGCCGCCTTCTCCAAACGGTAATTCATTAAGATCAGATCATTCTTTTGATTTTGGAAGAAAAATATTTTTAGTTACTCTTATTGGTGAACTTATGGCATTTCTTCTTCTATTATGTACATTTTAAGATAAAATTACAAGAACCTACGTAGTATTCTTATTCGAACATTGGTCGACCAAAAATATGATTTTACAAAACAATTTGGGACGGAGCCACGGTCCACGGAATTGAAGTAGTACATGGGAAGATCTTTAACTGAATTTTCATCCCATACTAGCTTATTGGAGGCCCAAATCTTTGATTGGAATTATATCTCAAACTTCAAACTTGTGTCACTCTCTTTTTGCCAATTAACACTACAAATTAAATAACACAAATTTGGCACGAGTTGACCCATGATTTTGCGTCAAATAAATCGTGTTAACGTGTTTTGTTGCACGAATTTGGCATATCATTGTCAGATCTTTCGTGAATTTGTGCAAGTCTCTACCGAAAATCCATTCCAGTCCCGTGTTTTCTATAGTGTAAACTACGTCACCATCAACACTATTCTCAATTTCACTTGAAGAATCTGATATAGTAGTTGATGATGAATTGGTTTTGCATGCAGTTACCTACCCACCGTACTACATGCCGCCGCCGCCACAAGGGGGTGTTGGGATTTACCCAAAAAACACCGAGTTATTTATTCCTTCCTGGCAAACAATGGGGTATAATAGGAAATTGCCAAGTATGGGTATGATAGGTTGTGGAGATGAAGATGTGGAAAGAAAACGAGGAAACGCGAAACCATGCAGGCCAGAAACGTTGAATTTGTTCCCTTTGTGTCCTACTGGGGTTTTACATGAAGAATGTAACAGGAAGAATGTGGATGCAGGCTTTAATACAGCCACTCCGTCCTGGTCTGGAGATGATGATAATGATAACGAGCGCTTCACATTCTTTGATTTTTTTTGTGGGAATGGTTGTTATGGAAGTCATGACTGATTGTGACAGTGTTATTTGCTGACAATGTTTGACTGATAGTTGACTCTCATGCTACCTTTAAACCAGGTTGTGCATGTATCAAATTCTATACATTATATTAAATTAATAGATAAAAGTGTTTTTTAGGGTTGAGAAAATAAACTAGTTTTGGTGACCATTACAGTTCTTCTGGTGTTTTCTTGATTGCCGATTCACTTTTATTTTTGTGAAGTTAATGTAAGTAGTACTATACAGATTATGTCTCATCATGCATGCACTTTCTCTCTTTCAGAATGGGTTCAGTTTTTGGGAGGTTTTAGTCTTGCTCTAGGTCAATATTGGTCCCAACAAGCTTTTGTCAGCGTGCTGTGTGAAAGTAAGAGGACTTGTGAAATTAAAAAAGGGATAACTAGTACTAAAGCAATTGACTCACATGGCTCTATCACGGTTGGTCCACTGTACTTCTTATCTAAGTTGCAAAAGATTGAACTAAGAGATGTGGTTCCATCTTAAAATGTTTATCTAATAGGAGTAGATTAACACTTTATTACAGTACTTTTTAATTAATTTATCACTGTGGGTTCCATCATTATCATTTTTAATGATTATGTCGTTATTTTCATAATGGGTCGACATGCATCATGATTATGCATGGATCGTTTTGCCTTGGATACCATGTGAAGACGAGATTTCATCCTATAAATGAACCTGATATGATGAGTAGTCCAAAATCTTAATATACCATAGTGTCTTTCAGTTCTTTGTTCATGATCAAATCATTAGTAATTCTTATTCCAAATGTTATACTCCCCACGTCCCATAAAACATAGTTGTACTGACTTTTCTTTATCAGTGATGATCGATCAAGTTTGATCAATGATACTACGTACTTTGTATTTAACAGTATGAAATAATTTGAAATATGGAAATTATATTAATATATTATTGTTAGTTTTTTATAAAAAGGAGTAAATTTATTAATTTCACATAAATATAATAACTACTCCGTATTTTTTTCAAAATTCCCTCAATGATCAATAAAATTTAATTTGATCAAACCTCGTGTGATGAAATTAAATAAGTACTCCATTGTATCAGGAAAAAATATATAGAGCATGCTGACGTGCCTACTATAGAGCCTGTTGACGTGATGCATGATCACAATTAACTAAATATTTTAATTGAATGAACTTAATTTGTCCATTCATCTTCTCTTATACCAATGTTAGGGGTGGAGGCGGAACTACAGTCAAGGGTTTTTTAGCAAGTTAAATAGGACATCTGGAACAGACCCACCAAAATTGGGCTCCCAATGTTTTTTAATATTAGTATTATAATATAGTTATATTATAAAATATTAATATGTAGTTATTTGAAATCATGTTTTTTTTCTATATGAACACTTGAATACTGTTAATTTTGTTGAACTATGTGAGTTGTTACTATATGCGATCTTATTTTTGTTCATACATGGGCCCTCAATTTTGCATTTGGAACCGAGGCCTCCAAATTCATTAGACGGACCTGAGTATAGTTACTATGCAGAGTCATTGCACACTATAGTATAGAGTTGGATGAAATTATGATCACTAAAGTAATAGAAGTTATATATCCATTACCATTGTTTATGTCATATACTATTGTATTTGTCATTGTTTATGACCAGAATAAAGATGAAAGAGACAATTATTGTGTTCAATTTCACCCTGTAGTGAATATGAAGTTGTACACATACTAATTTTGGTCATACTTATATCGTATCTATAAATTGACTAGTATTCTAGGAAAACCCTCTAAATTATTGTGCATGTATATATATATGTATATGTATATATATATATATATATATATATATATATATATATATATATATATATATATATATAGTTGTATTGTTAAACATATACTCCCTCCGTCCGGCTATTAACTTCCTACTTTGACCTACACATATATTTAGGAAATAAATTTGACTTTACTATTTAGACACTGTTTGGCACTGTTTAGACACTGTTTGGCACTTTTTAGACACTGTTTGGCACTGTTTTTCATTGTTTTGATGTAGGGTAACTTTCCATTTAGGGAAATGAGAAGATGATTTTGGGACGGCCCAAAAAGGAAAGCAGGAAGTTAATAGCGGGACGGAGGGAGTATATAGAAGCCATTCAAGAAAATGAAATATATACTGGTGGTTAAAAAGCTTTGATTTTGCATTCAAAAAGAGAAAAAAAAAAAAGAACTACTCGTAGTATGATTTTTAGCTCTCTCTAGTTGATCGTAGCATTTATTAGGGGATGTTTGGATCTGATTCTTAAAACTGCTTCTGCTCCTTGAGAGAGCAGAAGCAGTAGCTGGATTGTTTAGGTGAAAGTGCAGAAGTGATTCTGGTGCTCTAATTTACTCCTAGAATCAGTTTTTTTTAGAAGCTGAGGTTGGCCAACTTCTAAAAACTGATTCTGATTCTAAATTTCTAATTCTGCTTTAAAAAAGAAGAAGAAGCAGAATCAGTTCTAATTTCTAAACAGCCCCTTATACTAGTGGTAGTAATATCAAGGTTTGTAAAAAAAAATACTAAGTACATGGCAAGATTTGGCATTACCGAAGGATATGAATTAACTCTGTTCGCAACCTCGTTTTCCTAAGCTAATATAAATATAGGCGGCTATACTTACATTGTCGAAGCATGCCTTTTTATGTGCTTAACCATTCCAAGTGGAGTCTGGGGACGTAAAGACCATTAGGCGGCCGGATCAATTTACAAAGCAGCAGAATATATCATTCCAATTGAATACTTCCAAATTCCAATGAAAATCCAATAAAAAAATCCATCAGATATGTCATATGTGCCACTTGCTCTCTCTAGTCTCTTCGATAGTTCGATATATAGGGTAGGGAGTATTATTTTTTGTAGTTCATTAATATGGTAGAATGCATACACTTCTAGTACTCCAATACCTTTTCATTAACATGAACCTACAAGGGAAATTAAAGATAGGGTTACATGTGAGACGAGCTGATGAGCTCTCTAATAATACATATGATCCATTTATTATAATGGATGGTGCGCCCGGTTGCAAAACAACGCAGTATCACGCACACTCCTTCTCCTTTGACCAGCCGCTGCTCTTCTCCGTTAATACTCGTTGGTCATTTTTTTTCTCCATCACAGTTGTGACGCACACACTCCTCCCCAAGACCCCAACACACTTCTCCTCCCCAATTTTTCGTGTAGTTCGTATGATGCATTCCACAACCAGCACCAAACAAAGTTTTATCAATAAAAAAAACTTAACATAGATTCATTTATTGCTCAAATAAAATACTTACCCATGGAGAAAAGAGATTCTTCTTTAAAACATATTTATGACTTTAATATTAAAAAAAACATACACTACGTGAGAGAAGAGAAATGTATAACGCCAAGTATAAGGAAATGGCCATGATAAAAATGTCTGTTATTAGTCCGTCATATGAAGGCAACCATTTTGTTTAAATAAAAAGGTGTATAACAAGTTAATAACGGATCCATTGATTATTAAATAAAGCTGTGGGATGCCAACTACCTTCCAACTTTAATAAGGGAAAAATGAGGGATGTGGTAGCTCAACTACCACCTACATATTGTACACTACGACCCATTAATATATACTCCGTACTACGTACGTATTTATCATATACTACGTATTTAGTTATTTATGGGTATAAGGGACTAATAAGGCCTCTCATCCTTTTTACTCCATATATACCTCTCATCTCATCAGTTCATTATATGCTCGATCGTATCCAGATCGGTATTTCTGTCATCTAATACTTCACACAATCTTATCATTTCACGGCTTCTTTCAATTTTCTTGGCCTTTCATTTTTTTTTGGGTTCTTCGAAGAATACAAGGCAGCGGCAACTTTAATTTGTTTCTAGTAATTAAGTTATATTTTTCTTACCATGTTCTAATTTTATGTTGGAAGTATAAAATGTGAATGATGTTTTGACATATTTTGTACATTTTATTACAATCAGCTAGGTATATATGGTTTACGGAAGTTTTAATTATTTTTATAATAATATTTTTGCAATATTAATTAGCTGTTTTTTAATCATGTTAAGCAGGTGATCTAAGATGGCAGAAAATCGTGATTGGATGTATAAGCGTCGAAGTCGGACTTCTGGTAATTTAAACTATGAGTTTGTAGAAGGTGTTAAACATTTCTTAGATTTTGCTTTTAGCATATCTGAAATCCAAGGAGAAAATATGGTTAAATGTCCGTGTAAAAAATGTAAACTCAGAAAGTACTACGATAGAGATACAATTGAAACACATTTGTGTAACAGAGGATTCACAGAAAATTATTACACATGGGTGTGTCATGGTGAAGAACTGCCAATAAATCCTAATATATGTCGAGGCTATGCACCAAGTGATGTGGAATCTTATGAACATGTATCCCTTAGTGGTAGTTATACCGAACATAATAATTTGTTGGGATGCACACAAATGGTCAGGGAGGTGATGTATCCGTTCTCCACTAACACCGAAAATGAAACCAATGATTTCAATATGTTTCATTGTGGTGATGAAGAAAATGATGATAACGGTCTAGAGACTAATGAAATGGTGTATCAAAACCCAAATGAAAATGCACGAGAGTTCTATAATCTCTTGGAAGATGCATCTGCTCCTTTGTATGATGGTTGCACGGATCACAGCAGATTATCTGTGGTGTCTGAGCTGTTAAGCGTTAAGAGTCAATATAATATGTCTGATGCATGTTTTGACAAAGTAGCTTCACTTGTGGAAAGGATTGTTCCAGGTGATAACAAATTGCCGAAGAGCTTATATCATGCAAAAAAGATGGTCGATGGATTAGGATTGCCATATTACAAAATTGATGCATGTGAAAACAATTGCATGCTATTTGATGGTGATGATACAGATTTGGCATACTGCAAAAGTTGTGGTTCATGTAGGTACGTCGAAGATACGATGGACCAGGGAGGGAAAAGGAAGGCGGTGGCTAAAAAGGTTTTGCGCTATTTGCCAATAACAGAGCGGTTGAAGAGAATGTATATGTCATCAAAAACTTCTAAATTCATGACTTGGCATAAACAAGGTGCGTCGTCCACTCACACTACCATTTCACATCCATGTCATTCAGAGGCATGGAAACACGTTGATCAGACTTACCCTTCTTTTGCTCTTGAGTGTAGAAATGTGCGTTTGGGTTTATGCACAGATGGGTTCAATCCGAATTCTGATTTCAGTAACCCATACTCAATTTGGCCTGTATTCATTGCTGTATACAATTTGCCTCCTGATCTTTGCATGAAAGAGCCATATATATTTATGGCCATGCTGATACCTGGTCCCCGATCTCCAGGAAGGAACATCGATGTTTTTTTAAGACCACTTATTGATGAGTTAAACATGTTGTGGAATGTTGGAGTTGAAACATGGGATGCTTATCGGAAGCAAAATTTCATGTTGAGGGCATGTCTTTTATGGACAATTAGTGACTTTCCAGCATATGGAATGTTATCGGGATGGAGCACACATGGTCGATTAGCATGCCCTTACTGTTTGGGAGAAGGAGTTGGCCACCAACTTAAGTTTGGGAAGAAGCCATGTTGGTGGGGTTGTCATAGGAGGTTTTTAGGATATGGACATGCATTTCGTCGTGACACGCAATCATGGGGAGTTTTGGGAAGTGAACGTAGGAGACCTCCACCGATAAAATCGGGCGTTGAAATTTTGAGGAGTATGGAGGGCATTATATTTCCACCATTTGGCTCTCAATATGACAACTTGCGTGCTGATGGTTTTGGTAGAACTCACAATTGGATCAAAAGATCTATTTTTTGGGAACTACCATATTGGGAACATTTACTTGTGCGACATAACCTTGATGTAATGCATATTGAGAAAAATTGTTTTGATAATGTGTTTAACACAGTTATGGATGTCAAGGGGAAAACTAAAGATAATTCCAATTCGAGGCGTGATATGGAGAACATGAACATACGAAAAGAACTGCATTTGTACGATCGTAACATGGCCACATATCAGCCAAAAGCAAGTTATGTGTTAGATAGACCAAGCATCATCAATATCTGCCATTGGTTGAAGCATGAAGTTAAACTACCTGATGGTTATTCATCTAACATTGGACATTGTGTGAACACAATTACAAATACATTCTATAGTATGAAAAGCCATGATTGTCATGTGTTCATGCAACGTCTACTTCCAATAACACTGCGTGGTTACCTCAGGTCACCAATTTGGGTAACAATTTCTGAGTTCTGCAAATTTTTTAGACTTATTTGTGCAAAGGAACTTTGTATTGCAGACATCGAAAAAATGGAGGATGCTATTGCAGTTACGCTGTGTAAACTCGAGAAAATATTCCCTCCCAGTTTTTTTGATTCCATGGAGCATTTGACTATCCACCTGCCATGGGAGTTAAAAATTTGTGGCCCTGTGCAATTTCGTTGGATGTACCCTTTTGAGCGGTTGATGAAAAAACTGAAAGAAAAGGCAAAAAATAAACAATTCTTAGAGGGATCAATTGTTGAAAAATTTTGGGTTCAGGAAGTTGCTCTATTTTGTGAGCATTACTTTGATGATAATCTAGGTACCCGGATCAATCCTCATGTACGAAATGAAGTTCGGCCTAATATGTTAAATGTGGGGGAAACTTCTAATGATATAGACAGCTTGTCTATCTTCAAGCATCCTGTTAGAAATTTCAGTCGAGTGAAGAATCATGTATTGACAGATGAAGATCTGCACCATGTCCATAGCTATGTTCTATTTAATAGCCCTGAAGTGCAACCGTACATCGAGTAAGTGTGTAATTGAAATTTATGTTTATAAAGTAAAATATACTAAATTAACAATGTTATTTTGCAGACAATATGAATGTCTACTTCGACAATCTTCCCCAACATTGAATGATTCTGGTGTTGCCGAACAAAGAATGACACACTTTGCTACATGGTTTGAGTTAATGGTATGATATACATATGAAACTTGCGTAAGTTCAAATATATAATTTTCATTTATCTTTTCAAAACTAATTATTTTCAGGCCCAACAATATCCTCAAAGTTTCACCAAACAACTAATAGAGTTATCACAATGGCCTAAAAAGAAATGCAAGGCATATGGTGGCTCCTATGTAAATGGATTCAAATTCCATACTAAAATGAATGGAGAGGTTAAACGCACAGCTAACTGGGGCATTTGTGTGCTTGGAGAAACTTCAGGGGACGGTCGTTATGATTTCTACGGAATACTTGATGATATTATTGAACTTCGTTACAAAAATAATGAAGTAACAATATTCAAAGGAACATGGTTTGATCCAACCAATGGCGTACGCCTTCATAAACCATCTGGAGTAGTTGACATCCGTCACACATCACGCTTACATCCAGAAGATCCATTTATTCTTGCTAGTCAAGCACAACAAGTATATTACGTTAAATATCCAACAGAGGGGTTAAGTGATTGGCTTGCTGTAATTAAAACAAAACCCAGACACATCATCCAAGGTGATATTGATACATATGATGAACCTGAAGACATAATTGATGTTGACGCTGATCAAGAAGATTTTATTGTCGAAGATGGTGGTGTCTTTGATGATCCTGATCTTGAAGGTCGGGATCTTCTTCTACATGTGGGGATTGCTCCAGAAATTGTTGTTGATGGTGACGAGGATGAGAATTCAGAAGATTCTGAAGAAGACATTCCAAATTATATATGACTTTGTCTTCAGTATTTATTGTATTTGAATATCTTTTAAAGAATAATTATTGTTGACACTTATTATTCTGGCTGATTCGGCTGGTATGTGTATTATTTGCCTAAAAAGTTTGAAAACATTAAAATCGGTTGAATCGACTGATTCTGCTGAAATTTCTAATGTTCTGCCTAAAGTAGCTGTATTGACTGATTCAGCTGCTTTATGAAGGAAAAAAATATTTGTATTAAAAAAATATGGACAAATATCTAAGATGATATCTACAGTAACATTAGTCAATACAAGCATAAAAGTAACTTCAAGCCTACCTTTTGTTATTATTACACAATTTAGAGTGTGAATTCAAATGTACGAGTTTGATCAAAAATTTGACTGATAAGCTTGATGAGCCGAAATTCTCAGTCACCAAATAGCTAAAAAAATCTCACCGCCTAACAAATTTTCGTTTCATATCCTTTTGTTATTAAAACTGCTGACATTTTCGTTTCATTTTGGCGGCATTTGTAAAACTTTCACCGCCTAAAAAATTTAGGGAAATTTGAGCGCCTAAATAGCTAAAAACATCTAAACCTAATTTTCGACCCCAGTCTCCATCTCTCTATTGCTCTTCTCGATCTTATCAGTCTGGGACGCAGCTGCTTTCAATCGTCGGGTAAGTTATTGGAATCCAAAAAAAGATGTACTCTCCTGGAATATAACACCATTACTCACAATCGCAGATTGTATTTCATGTTATATTCGATTTTATTTATTTTTATCTGATCTTTCTACACACGTATTAATGATTTTTATAAGTTTGTTTTGTTGGAGGTAAAGTGATAATAGGCGGCTGTGGTATTATGTGATTAAGGAATTTATTTTGTTGTTGAAGCTCATTTATATTATTTAAGGCTATATCCTTTACTTTGTTGCAGGTTGCTGGTTTTCAATTCCTCGATTTTATTGTTTCATAGTCATCAAATTGGGGTATGAGTTTTACTATGTATATTTGATACTTTTATTTGAGTGTGCTAAGGAAGTATCTCTGTAAATAATACTACATATACGGTGCTGACAGAAAACACAGGTAGTTAGATGTTTACTTTTTAGGACGATCCATAAAGAAGCAATTTCAATTCCATTTGGAATCATACATGTTGGTTTACTTTGTTTAGCTATGTTCAATACATTGTTTTTAAATAAATGTTTGAACTCTTATGTAAACTATGTGAACTCGGATGCTATGATTTGTAATCTGCTAGATTAACAATTTAGACGAAGTATATGCGTATATACCCTCTGTGTATATACCTATTTGGCCCTTTTTGTTTATTTTTCAGGACTGGTGTATCTTAGCATTTTATTTTATAAAGCAACTAAAGATGAATTTTGTTAGTAGGTTACAAAAGTATTTTGGATTGAGGGCCGCAACTATTCTTTACCTTTTCTGGGCCAACAAAGACACATAGTACTACTATTATGCTTAAAGTGTTTAAAATGTTACCTTGTCTATTTTTTACAAACAGGTACTACTGTTATGCTTAAAGTGTTTAAAGTGCTTAGAGTGTTACTGTTCTGTTATGTCCAATTGGTTTTTTATAATGTTAAAGACCAAGATGCTTTCTTGGATTACCTGTGGTATATGTGCTTTCTCATTTAAGCACTTTAAGTACTCTGAAAATCACCATACTGCTGCCTTTTTACTCTAGCACTAAATAGTGGAATAAGTGGAATTAACAGGCTTTACCAATCGCTTTGAGTTAGTTATTGGGCTCAAATTGGCTTTGATAGTATATGTTGACCGGGCTGTTATTGTGTTTAGGAGAAGACATGTCTTCAAGGGTTTCAGTATCGCGCGGTAGTGGTCGCCCGATTCGTGGTCGTGGAAATAATGGTGCCATTGTTGGTACTGGAAGACCCCGAAACTTATCTTCAGGCGAGCAAATAACTAGCCAGAATGTTCATCACTCACTCAACACCCCCCCAACAAATGCAAGTGGCTTGTTTGGTTCAAATACCAGGGATGAACCATTTACGCAGACTAATGTGACACCAGAAAGTGTCCTAGACGCACAACCCTGCGATCACATTGTACTCGGCGAGTAAGTAACTTATTTGAAATATCCAATTATTCTTGTACTGCTTCAACTATAAATGCAGTTCCTAAATGTTTGTTATTAAACTTTATTCATTTTTTGTAGTCTGAAAGTAAATGATAAAGTGAAAAAGTCCCTGGAGACTATTGGCACAAAGTTGTTTACTGGATGGCCACCGAACTACGGAAATTTAGAACCTAAGGATCGCGAAGCATACATTAAAGAATTCTCGGTAATAACTTATAATATGTTTTCCGGTTTTTTCTTTTTAATAGCTAACTATTCTGATTGGTATGCAGAAAGAATATAACTGGGCACCATCAGATAATGGACTAATGATTTCCAAACTTCACTCAAAGTTTAGTACTCGTTATACGGCGCGCATGTCAAATATCAGACAAAGTGTTCAAGAAAAAATTCCAGATTTTCTTGATGACCAAGATTATACTAGATTCATTCCCTTTCGACCGGAGCTTGTAACCCCTCAGACATGGCTTAAATTATGCAACTTTTGGAACTCTGATGAATGGAAGAAGAAGTCTGGAATTGCAAAGCGTAATCGTGTTGGTAAGATAAAACATCCAGGTTGCATTAAGTATATGAAATTGAGGTGGCATATTACAATTTACATAGTTTGATTGAGCTTTTATTGAAATAAAATATAAGTATTCTCTAGTGAATTTTGGACAATGAAAACTACAATAAATATGTAGGAAGCCTTGGTGATGGAGAAGTTACTGCTAAGACAAAAGGAAGAAAGTCGAAAGAGGATTTCTATTCTGAAATCGTAAGTAGTTAAAGTTGTTTTGCGTAAGTTCAAATATATAATTTGGTATACTGTGTATAATTTCTGCTTATTTTTTTTTTATTTCATTAATAGGCGTTAGAACTTGGCCGAATTCCCACGATGGAGGAATTTGGTGATAGGTGGTGTACAATTGACCCTACCACTAACCAACCGCATCGAACAAAATTTGCTCGTTACATGGTATGGTGATTGTAAAAATGTAATTTTTGGTTTGTTCTAGCCTTTATCGTTCTAAATGTTCAAGCTAATCATTATTCTAAATGAGGAAATTGTGTTATACTTGTATTTGCTTTAATACTCTGTAATACTAGTCTAATTTTATTGTAGGCGATATATCGTGAACGTATGGAAGAAAAATATGGATTAGATCGGGCTCAACATCCGACATTTGATTATGAGATATGGATTGGTATTACTGGTCCTCCAAAAAAGGGACGTTTAGTTGGCGTACCAGAACAGTTATCTCATCCTCATTTGTTTCAGCCATCTAAACCACAGGAGGTAGACACTATTGTGTTAAATTCTTGTATCTATGTTTTTGTTTATAACTAAAATCCACTACTTATAAATGTATTTTATCCGTTTGGGAGATTTTTTACTACATCATATTATTTATTGTATGTTGAGGTAGAGGCATATGACAATACTAACAACAAAGTATATACAGAGTATTTAAGATATAATTCGGTCATCACAAAATCTAGAACCAATAGTCTCATATTATGAGTATTAGTACAAACACACTTAGCCCAATCATCACGGAAACTAACTACGTAGTACTACAGTTTATATATGTATATATACGCTTTCCCATGTTTTTATGGCCAACAATTACGTGCTTGCAGCAATATTCAAAGCTGACTATAACGAAGTCTTTAATTTGCTACATGGTTTTTTCTCAATACTCCAGTGGGGGTACCATTACACTCATCTCTTTTTCTCTTTGAAACAAAAAGTATGTGCTAACAATTTATTTGCTCCTTTCAATTTTTTAATGAACAATGATCAGTCTATAAGAGGGTTCACCTTGTGATTATAATAAACTAACCAAACTCGAACTATCTAAAGTTGGGTTTGGTTCAGCTTTGAATACTACGTATTAAACTGTTCAAGAATATGATTTATATAATATTGCAGGATCGATGTGTGGTATTAGAGCGCCAGTTTGTTGAGCTCAAGACTCAAATGGAGATGATGGAAGTTGGAATGACAGAGCTCAAGGCAATAAACCAAAAAATGATGGAAGAAAATTTAGAGCAAAGAGCACATTTCAAGTCTTCTATGAGCAATATTTGGGGTGTTTTGATGAGTATGGGCGTGGTTACTCCAGATACGATCCCATTTAATTTTGTTGCGGGAGGGGGGTGTTCATCTCAACAGCACCCACCATATATGTTTGGGCAGCCTTCACAACCCCAACAACCACTACCATTCAGACATCAACAACCTGCATCCTTCAGCCAGCTTATTCAGATGAACTATGCCCAAGCACAACACGAAGCGTTGGGGGATCAACCTCCACAGTTTGGTATCACTGGTTTGTCACTACCTACATCTGAACGTCGAGCGCCTACCGTCCTTGCAAATCAATCATTTGTTGCACCACCTATTCTTCCAATGCGTCGTGCTCGTGAGAGCTCATCTAGCGATAATTCCGATGATGATGAGGATAGTGACAATATGAATGATGATATTTAGTAAAACATGTAGCACGATTTGAATTTTTGGTTAAGGCTCTATTATGTTTTTTATCACTTTTATGTTTTTGGTGAAGACTCCATTTTTGTGTACTAAAAAGTGAGCCTTCAGCTAGATATGTAGTATGTTTTGGATACTTTGTGTTCTAAAATTTTCTCTCAATAATAAAAGCAATTATTATATTTCACAGCATTTTTTTATATGTTTTACACGTGTATTGGTGTATTATTATAGCTATACGAAGTATTGTAAAGTAATACCTAGCTAGTACAAATTATACGAAGTATTTGATGAATATACTTATATACTTATACGCTTTATGAGGGAGGATCTGTTATTAATTTGTTATTCATAGAAATGCTTCCTTGAGTACACGATGGGGCATTATTACAGCAATTGTGGTTATAAATCCCTCATACCATATGACGGAAACATGCCGTTATACGTTGTTATACATGTGGGGTTCAAGGAGCATTTTTATAACGGATCTCATAACAGCCAATCCCTTATTACATTATAACAAATAAATGACGGATCCCCTGTTATTGGCACATTTTCATTCGCGTAGTGATATTCACTATTTATGTAA